CTGCATCTCCCGATACCAGCGCTGTGCCACTGGCATGTGTCCGTCACGATCGACCTTGGTGCGGCGGTAGCTGTCGGGCCGTTGCAGGCAGCGCTCTCGTCGTATTGTGGCACCGACAGGGTCCACGTCTCGGGAGGTCCCACCTGGATCCACTCGTTGTCTCGCGAAAACTGGACGACGGGGAAGCCCAGCAGCAGGTGGCACGCCTCAAAAGTGGAAGTGGTTCTGCCTTGCAATGCTGCGTGCGCCGCCTTGTAGATCTGCTGGTTGCTGAGGCTCGCGTCCGCCACGCTACTGGAGGTGAGCCTGGCAACAATGCTCTCCACGCGCCGCTGCGCCTCCAGGTCCTGCTCCGACTTCAAGGCATAGCCCAGAATGTAGCGGCTGGCGCTGGTCAGCTCGCAGATCACCTGCAGGTCCATGCTGGCCCGCCACCGCCGAAGGATCTTGATGTTGTACTGGCCCATGCCTTTGTCGCACTCTGCTCGCCTTGTGGCGAGGCTGCTCTTCCAACGGCTGTTGGCATACTTTTCTTGGGAGCTGCGGCGCCGCGTGCGCGGTTCGGGATTGTGCGGAAAGCCGAAGCGGCAGGCACCGTGAGTCTTGATGCCGCAATATTCGGTGTGCTTGTGCACCAATAATTCGGCCAGCTGTGCATTGAGCTCCTTGTCGCGACCCGAGACTTTCGTGGATCGGCGCCAGCTGAGCGGACCCTTGGTGGTGATGTACTTGTCGCTCCACTCCTCTGCGCAGGTGGGAACGAAATGTTTCATCGCTTCATCATCCGACCAATCTGGGACTTGCGCCTCTGCTTCTGTTCCCTCGCCTCCGGGAGCCGCCTTCATCTTGTCGCCGGGCTTCTGCTTAGTCTTGCTCTCCCACTCCACCACCCAGAGAAGGATGTGAGCATGCGGGTAACCTCTCTTCTGCCATTCGATGCGGATGAGGTAGTCCACGACTCGGAACGGCGGGTCTTCCTTACGGACCCCACGATGCTGGCCTGCAGAGTCGGCAGCTGGCGCCTGGATGAAGTCTTCCTCGAGCGCGCCTTCTGGCTCATCCTGAGCATCTGCACCCTCGTCCATGCGGCTGCTTGCGCCATGCTCGGTGGAAAGCCAATGCATGAGCTGGGTCAGCTGGTGCATGAACTGTCGTGCCACGATAGCGGGGTACTGATTGCAGAGCTGGTTCGGCGACAGGCCGTCCCATTTGAACTTCTTGTCTGCTTGGTAACACTGCAGGATGTGCGCCGCTTCGCGCTCGAGCTCTTGGGGCTGACTCTCGGGGCGCAGCCGCAGCAGCCGCGCCATGATGACTGCGATCAGGATGTCAGGCTGTCGGGCGTGGCAGGAGAGCGTCATGAAGAACTTGGGCGTGCCCAGTTGCTCGTACATGTTCAGCGCCACGCCCTTCTTGGCAAAAACGTACGAGCTCGTCCCCGGGATGTCCCTCAGGGCCGTGAAGACTTGACCTCTGCCTTCTTGGTACTTGCTCTTCCCGTTTGGAGGCTGGCCGCCGATCCTCACGTTGATGTTGCCCGAGAGGCGCTTCTTGATGTGCATTTCCAGAAGCCACATGATATAGGCCGGCGATGCCTCGAAGCGCGGATCCAGACCCAGGAGGCGTTTGCGCGCGTACTGCGACATGCTCCCATAGGCATTCTGCCATCCACATGTGCCGGCAGGAAACAAATGCGGGAAGAATTTCACGTCCATGTCATCGCTGAGCGCTGCAATGCTGCGGGCCTTCTGCAAATCCGCTTTGTGCGGTCTGGGCGCATGCAATTCTTTAGGAATGAGGTACGTCATCTCCAGCGTGCCTTCTTGCTCCGGCGCTTCCGTCTCCTCATCTGGTGTCTGCGCACTGCCTCCCAAGGCCGAGGAGTGTGAGCCACCGAACTCCTCCGTTTGGCGCCCTTGGGAGGTCACGTGGTTTGCGAGCGCTGTTGCGCTGCCTGGCCGCGTCCCGGCCAGGATCGCTTCCATTCTTTGCCAGGGCTCCATCCATCGCCGGATTTCCCTTGTACAGGCGGTGCTGGGCTTTCAGCTCCCGCAGCGCTTTGTGTAGGCAGTCCAGACGAGCTGGGGAAGCCATCTGTCCTTGCACTCCCTCCACCAGGACGGTGCCGTCTTCCTCGAGCGTGGCTCCCTCCAGGACGTCGCAAATGAAAGGGTCGTCCACCAGCACCGCGTACATTCGACCCCACTGGGCACTTGGGCCGCCAGCAGGGAGCTTGTCCAGCAAGACTTGGGAGATCCGGGCCATGGCGATGAGGTGCTGCTCGATGGGCTGGAGTTGTTGCAGCGCTTCGGGGATGGGCGGCAGGACCTGCAACAGGAACCTGGTGTTCTTCTCGCGGCAGTTCCTGCAAAGCATCTGTCCTGAGGGTCCGCTCTTCCTGCAATGTTTTGCTGGGGCGAGCGTGCTACAAGCTGCACAAAGTCTGGACAAGCCAAACCTTCCCCAGCTGCGAGTGAAGGCCAGGTACCGCTCTTGTACTTGTTCCGGACTCAAGGTCTCCTCGTCCGGGAACGGGTAGCCTCGTTGCTCCGCCTCGGTGGCGATGGGTCTTGGTCCCCGTCCGCCCAGTCCCTCCTCGGCCCGCTCGGCCTGCAGTTCTTGCCTTTGCGCACGTGTGCTTCCTGCAACCGGTAGAGGCCCGCGGCTGCCTGCTCCCTCCTCGGCCCGCTCGGCCTGCAGTTCTTGCCTTTGTGCACGTGTGCTTCCTGCAACCGGTAGAGGCCCGCGGCTGCCTGCTCCCTCCTCGGCCCGCTCGGCCTGCAGTTCTTGCCTTTGTGCACGTGTGCTTCCTGCAACCGGTAGAGGCCCGCGGCTGCCTGCTCCCTCCTCGGCCCGCTCGGCCTGCGAATCGCGCCTCTGGGCCCGAGCACTGTCTTCTTCTCCCGGGCGACCGCCACGGCCGGGCGTCGGGCCACGGCTGCCTGCTCCCTGTGCTGCACGTTGCTGCTGTCGAGCACTCTTCTCCTCGCTCTTCCGGCGGAGGTTCTCCTCTTTCTCGGCTTGGCGGCACTGCAGATTGCTGCACCATCCTTGTCCTCGGCCCCTTCGTGGCCAGCCGCACCGGTGACAAGGCGCCATCGTAACGAATTGCGAATTTGCGGTTCCTAAACTCAGCTAGGTTGTATCCGCACGGCTGCGATCAAGTATCACAGTATCAGGCATGTCAGTGGTCGTTTGTTCGCTCTCTGCCGGGCAAACCAATCTGCGTAATCACGACTACCTTCATACACCGAATCTTTGTCTGTAGTCTACAATCTATCTGACATGCAACGACACTGCGGCACTAGCCCCATTTTTCGTTTGCTGCTGCTCACACTCGGAGCTGTAACGGTCTGTGGCGTGTCACATAGAGAACCTCCATGTCCACGACGTCATTGCCGAAGCTGCGATCCAGGAACTCATGCGTCCCTCGATGCGTAGACGACCTGCACCTCCAGGACCTCGCCGTTGAAGCTGCGGTCCAGGAGTTCATGCCAGCTCCAGACGTCTGCGATCACATCTCCCTTCAACACGAGTTTTGTGGCTTCGAGGGGAATGGGTCCTGCAGGACTGCTGTCCAAGTCGTGCAGCAGGACTTCTCTGGCGCTGCGATACTGCAGCGTCTCTGCCGGGATTGGCTTCTTGGTCTCCTGTCGTCTGACACGTAGCTCTTGCAGGGATAGCCAGCGATCGGGGTTGTTGCCCTCGTGCAACTGAGCGAGCCAAGCTTCTCGGAAAGATCCGGGTGGTTCGAGTTGGCAGAGCGGGCGGTAAGGCTTCGAAGAATGGACTTCGGCACCTTGCAAGTTCAGGTACCGCACCGTCAAGTTGGCAAGACGCTCGTTGAACTCTTTCTGCATCTCCACTTCTCTGTCCCACTGTATTCCCTCACGTGCATCTTCTTCGGCTTCGCGCTGCATCTCTGTTTCGACCCAGTCCCAATCATCGAACCCGTCCTCACAGTCCGCCTGGTCGGCGTCGTGGATCGAGTGGTCTGTGCTCTGGAAGTCTTCGTCCATGACGTCGGACATCATTGTCGCACCAGTCGACCTGAGAAGCACGGGGCTGCGGCAAAGCTGACCGTCTGTGACGACAATGGTGAAGGCTTCCATATCTGAGGCTCGCACCGGACCACGGGCGAGTGATATCTGTTGAAGCTAGATAGCAGTTTGAGACTCAGTATGCTGTGGCGGCGGCCTTGAAGGATGTGCTGTCACAGGATGCTGCGCTGTGCACTTTCACAAGGCAACCTGCTAGCAACGATTCTGAATTCAAGAACTGCTAGACATGCATGTCCGTTTTGGCTTTCTGCCAGAAACTGTCAAGACTAACAAAGTGAATCCAGGAGCCTCCTATCCTCGGAAACTCGCTGGCTGGGTGAGACCATCCCATATTAGTGGCAGCTGCACCTCTCGACCCCCATTCAGGTTGAGGATAAGGGTGGCGGCTGCGCCCTCGACCTCCGATTCAGGGTAAGCGCCCAACCCCCATTCAGGTTGAGGATAAGCGTGGCAGCTGCATCTCCCGACGCCCATTCAGGTTGAGGAGCACCTCCCGACCCCCATTCAGGTCGAGGATAAGCGTGGCGGCTGCGCTTCCCGACCTCCGATTCAGGGTAAGTGCCCAACCCCCATTCAGGTTGAGGATAAGCGTGGCAGCTGCACCTCCCGCCGCCCATTCAGGTTGAGGATAAGCGTGGCGGCTGCACCTCCCGACCCCCATTCATGTTGAGGATAAGCGTGGCGGCTGCGCTTCCCGACCCGCATTCAAGCATGGCAGTTGCACCTCTCGACCTCCATTCAGGTTGGTCTTCTCAGGTTGACACCACGCACCGGGGACCCCATATTGGCTGAGGATAACACACATGATCACACATGCGACCCCATGTTGGTTGAGGATATGCGCTCCGGCCTTGTCCCCGCCTCTGTCTTCTTCAGGTTGAGACCAGGCACCTGGGACCCCATATTGGTTGAGGATAGGCGTTCCGGGCTTGTCCCCGCCTCCGTCTTCTTCAGGTTGACACCACGCACCGGGGACCCATATTGGTTGAGGATAACGCACCTGGGACCCCATATTGGTTGAGGATAAGCGCTCCGGCCTTGTCCCCGCCTCCGTCTTCTTCAGGTTGACACCGCGCACCTGGGACCCAATATTGGTTGAGGATAAGCGCTCCACCGGCAACCCCATATTAATTGTGGATAACGCACCTGGGACCCCACATTGGTTGAGGATAAGCGCTCCGACCTCGTCCCCGCCTTGGTCTCTTGCAATGGAGACCACGCACTTGGGACCCCGTATTGGTTGAGGATAAGCACTTCGGCCTTGTCCCCTCCATCCTTTTCGAGTTGATACCACGGACCTGGGACCCCTCTTAGTTGAGGATAAGTGCTCCGACCTTGTCCCGGCCTCCGTCCTCTTCGAGTGGAGACCACGCACCTGGGACCCCATATTGGTTGAGGTTAAGCGCTCCGGCCTCGTCCCCGCCTCGGTCTTCTTGGAGTGGAGACCAGGCACCTGGGACCCCATATTGGTTGAGGATGCTCGCCCCGGCCTGGTCCCCGCCTCCATCCTTTTTTCGAGTTCAGACCACGCACCTATATATTAGTTGAGGATAAGCCGATCTTCTTGGAGAGACCACGCACCTCTGGTTGAGGATAAGCGTGGCGGCTGCGCCTCTTCCCCCTGGCCCCCATTCTGGTTGAGGATAAGCGTGGCGGCTGCACCTCTTCGCCTGGCACCGGAGGACTGGGACCCCATATTGGTTGAGGCTAAGCCCTCCGTCCTCGTCCCTGGCTTGCGTTCCTCAGGTCGAGACCTCACACCTCGGACCTCACATTGGTTGAGGATAAGCGCTCCGGCCTCGTCCCGCCTCCGCTTTCCCTGAAACCCCATATTGGTTGAGGACAAGCACTCCGGCCTTGTCCGTGCCTTCGCCGTCTACTCAGCTTAAAACCGTGCACCTGAAACCCCATCTTGGTTGACGATAAGCGCTCCGGCCTCGTCCCCGCCTTCGCCTTCTCACGCACCCAAGACCCCATGTGGGCCGAGTATGAGCCCTCCAGCCTCGTCCCGGACTGGGACCCCATATTGGTTGAGGATAAACCCTCCGTCCTCGTCCCTGGCTTGCGTTCCTCAGGTTAAGACCGCACACCTCGGACCTCACATTGGTTGAGGATAAGCGCTCCGGCCTCGTCCCTGCCTCCACTTTCCCTGAAACCCCATATTGGTTGAGGACAAGCACTCCGGCCTTGTCCGTGCCTTCGCCGTCTACTCAGCTTAAAACCGTGCACCTGAAACCCCATCTTGGTTGAGGATAAGCGCTCCGGCCTCGTCCCCGCCTTCGCCGTCTTCTCAGCTTCAGACCACGCACCTGAAACCCCATCTTGGTTGAGGATAAGGGCTCCGGCCTCGTTCCCGCTTCCGCTTTCCCTGAAACCCCATATTGGTTGAGGACAAGCACTCCGGCCTCGTCCGTGCCTTCGCCGTCTACTCAGCTTAAAACCGTGCACCTGAGACCCCATCTTGGTTGAGGATAAGCGCTCCGGCCTCGTCCCTGCCTCCGCTTTCCCTGAAACCCCATATTGGTTGAGGACAAGCACTCCGGCCTCGTCCGTGCCTTCGCCGTCTTCTCAGCTTAAAACCGTGCACCTGAAACCCCATCTTGGTTGAGGATAAGCGCTCCGGCCTCGTCCCCGCCTTCGCCTTCCTCGGCTTGAGACCATGCACCCGAGACTTAAGCGCTCCGGCTTCGTCCCCGCCTGTGCCGTCTTCTCAGCTTCAGACCAAGCACCTGAAACCCCATCTTGGTTGAGGATAAGCGCTCTGGCTTCGTCCCCGCCTCCGCCTTCCCTGAAACCCCATATTGGTTGAGGACAAGTGCTCCGGCCTCGTCCCCGCCTCCGCCGTCTTCCTCGGCTTGAGACCATGCACCCGAGACTTAAGCGCTCCGGCTTCGTCCCCGCCTGTGCCGTCTTCTCAGCTTCAGACCAAGCACCTGAAACCCCATCTTGGTTGAGGATAAGCGCTCTGGCTTCGTCCCCGCCTCCGCCTTCCCTGAAACCCCATATTGGTTGAGGACAAGTGCTCCGGCCTTGTCCCCGCCTCCGCCGTCTTCTCCGCTTAAAACCGTGTACCTGACAACCCATCTTGGTTGAGGATAAGCGCTCCGGCCTCGTCCCTACCTCCGCCGTCTTCTCAGCTTCAGACCAAGCACCTGAAACCCCATCTAGGTTGAGGATAAGTGCTCCGGCTTCGTCCCCGCCTCCGCCGTCTTCTCAGTTTCAGACCAAGCACCTAAAACCCCATCTTGGTTGAGGATAAGCGCTCCGGCTTCGTCTCGGCCTCCGGCGTCTTCTCAGCTTCAGATCAAGCACCTGAAACCCCATCTTGGTTGAGGATAAGCTCTTCGGCTTCGTCCCCGCCTCCGCCTTCTTCGGGTGGAGACCACGCACCTGGGAGCCCATATTGGTTGAGGACAAGGCTTCCCGGCTTCGTCCCTGCCTCCGCCTTCTTCGGGTTGAGACCACACACCTGAGAGCCCATGTTGGTTGAGGATAAGCGCTCCGGCCTCGTGGAGCCCATATTGGTTGAGGATAAGCGCTCCGGCCTCGTCCCCGCCTCGGCCGTTTTCTCAGCTTAAAACCATGCACCTGAAACCCCATCTTGGTTGAGGATAAGTGCTCCGGCCTCGTCCCGGCCTCCGCCGTCTTCTCGGCTTGAGACTACACACCTGGCACCCCATCTTGGTTGAGGATAAGTGCTCCGGCCTCGTCCCCGCCTCCGCCGTCTCCTGCTTGAGAACCTGAAGCTCCATCTTGGTTGAGGATAAGTGCTCCGGCCTCGTCCTCGCCTCCGCCGTCTTCTGCTTGAGATCCCACGCCTCGGAACCCCTTATTGGTTGGGGTTACGCCCTCCCGGCCGTGTCCTTGCATCCATCTCGTTCAGCTTGAGCTCTCACGCCTTGCAACCTTATATTGGTTGAGGATAAGCCCTCCCGGCCTTGTCCTCGCCTCCGTCTTCTTCAGCCTGAGCTTCCAGATCTCGGAACCCCATATTGGTCGAGGATAAGCCCTCCCGGCCGTGTCCTTGCTTCTGTCTTCTTCAGGCAAGCCTCGCAATCCCATCGTGCTTGCAGATAATGTCACCGGACACTGACGTAAGACGATCTATGTATTCTCGCAACTCACCTTTCTTCCCGTGTTATTGCTGTGTCACGTGTGAAACAATGTCCTTCAGCTAGGTGTCCTACGGCGAATGTGTTCTCTGATCATTATCAGAGCTTCGGCCGCGCGCTCGACCACAATCTTTGTTGCTTCGAATTTCCGTCTCAGGAGTTCCTCCTGCTTCTGCTTCCGGAGCTCTGTCCTCTCCTTCTGCTTCTTCTTCTTCTCGAAAGCCCGAAGGTTCGCGATGCAGAGACGGATGGTCTTCTTGGTGTTTCTCGGAAGCCCTTGTAGATCCTGGACTGAAAAGTATTGGAGTCGCCGGCCAAAGTCGAAGTCGTCTGTGGCTCTCGAAGCCAGCATCGGGTACCTGGAGAGTGCACCGATCAGCGCTAGGTGTCCTAGCCTCAGTGCCCAATCCGAGCGTCTCGTGAACTGCGAAATGGCCAGCTTCAGGTTGTGGGGTAGACGTGTCCATTTCTTTGCTGCCGTCCGGCAAGTGCAGTTTAAGGCGCTGAAAAGTACCGGTGTATCCATCGCGTCGAGCTGTCGTGAACTACTGGTTTCTATCGCACGCCTGAGCCCCAGTTGCAGCTGTGCCACAGGCTCGCTTGCCTCCCTTTCAAAGCCACCGGTCCATGATCCGACTAGTCTGGAACATGCGTGCATAGCTGACTGTGCGATCTCTTCATCACGACGACTTGTGAAGTGTACGCCTATCCCGGCCTTGTCTTTGTGAATTTGAGGCCTCGCGCTTGGGAACATGCACCTGGGACCGCATATTCTTTGAGGATACGCCCTCCAGTCTCGTCCCGGCCTCGTTCTTCTTGAGGTTGAAGTCTCGTGCTTGGGAGCATGCACCTGGGACACCATATTGGTTGAGGACAAGCGCTCCGGCCTCGTCCCCGCCTCCGCCGTCTTCTCAGCTTAAAACCATGCACCCGACACCCCATCTTGGTTGAGGATAAGCGCTCCGGCCTCGTCCCTACCTCCGCCGTCTTCTCAGCTTCAGACCAAGCACCTGAAACCCCATCTTGGTTGAGGATAAGCGCTCCGGCCTCGTCCCCGCCTCCGCCGTCTTCTCAGCTTAAAACCACGCACCTGAGACCCCATATTGGTTGAGGACAAGTGCTCCGGCCTCGTCCCCGCCTCCGCCGTCTTCTCAGCTTCAGACCATGCACCTGACACCCCATCTTGGTTGAGGATAAGCGCTCCGGCCTCGTCCCCGCCTCCGCCGTCTTCGGCTTGAGACCACGCACCTGAGACACCATCTTGGTTGAGGATAAGCGCTCCGGCCTCGTCCCCGCCTCCGCCCTCCGGCCTCGTCCCCGCCTCCGCCGTCTTCTCAGCTTCAGACCAAGAACCTGAGACCCCATATTGGTTGAGGATAAGTGCTCCGGCCTCGTCCCCGCCTCCGCCGTCTTCTCAGCTTCAGACCAAGCACTTGAAACCCCATCTTGGTTGAGGATAAGCGCTCCGGCCTCGTCCCTACCTCCGCCGTCTTCTCAGCTTCAGACCAAGCACCTGACACCCCATCTTGGTTGAGGATAAGCGCTCCGGCCTCGTCCCCGCCTTCGCCTTCTTCGGCTTGAGACCACGCACCTGAGACCCCATCTTGGTTGATGATAAGCGCTCCGGCCTCGTCCCCGCCTCCGCCGTCTTCGGCTTGAGACCACGCACCTGAGACCCCATCTTGGTTGATGATAAGCGCTCCGGCCTCGTCCCCGCCTCCGCCGTCTTCTCAGCTTCAAACCATGCACCTGACACCCCAACTTGGTTGATGATAAGCGCTCCGCATCTTGGTTGAGGATACGTCCCCGCCTCCGGCCTGAGATCCCAGACTTCGGAAACCCATATTGGTTGAGGATATCTCTGGCCTGATCCCCGCCTCCGTGTTCTTCTCAGGTTGAGACCATGCACCTGAAGCCCCATATTGGTTGAGTATACGTGGGTTGAAGATAAGCGCTCCGGCCTCGTCCCCGCCTCCGTCTTCATCTCGGGTTGAGCCCACGTGCCTGGAACTCCATATTGGTTGAGGATAAACGCCCTGGCCTCGACCCCGCCCCTGCCTTCCTCGAGTTGAGACCATGCTATATCTCCCCGTATGTGTCTACTGAATGCTGAATAACAGCTGCGTCGGATAGGAGTCGCTCGTAGTCATCGGGCATACCCCAAGAGTGCATGCGCGTGATGCAAGTGCTTCCCGTGCACCTTTTGGACTCTCAAGGGAAGAGGTTCTTATCGCCGGACCTGGCGCTCAGACGGCTGCCGTGGCCTCCTGGGCTGTGCTGTGGCAGGGACGTGCCCGCATGTTCTTCTTCGTTGTGCTGGTCCGGCCTGGAAGACATCCTCTTCCCAGAAACAAATGCTGTCCGAAAGATACCACCAGGGTATCCACGCGCCGTGCGGCACCCTTTGCCAAATGTATCCTGGTTGCACGTCAGTGTGCAGGTTCTGTTCTCTCGCTCTTGCTTGCTGGCCTGCCCACCCATTCTTCCTGAGAAGATTTCTTTTCTCTTCGACGGTGGCACAGGCCTAGCGCAACTAGCGTCAACCACCGTCGGCAGATGCTGGCTTGGTGTGCGTTGCTCGGCCCCTGACGCCCAGTTGGCTCTTGATGCTGTCCAACGGGCTCGGAGCTTCGCGCTCCGGTTTCCCGGCTCTGTCACGGCGGCGGGGCCTGCAGCGCCATCGTGTTCAGCAGAGACATCACGAGCGCTTCTTAAGGCCCCGACGGACACAACCCGAGTCGGCGTGCACAGGGAGGGCCTCGATAAAGGTAAACGGCATATCAGGACTCCTCCCTCGTAGAGCGTCCGAGGCTCGGGCACAACATCGCGTTGTGTGTCTCTTCTCCCTCGTATCCGGGGTCGATGCCCAAGTATCGGGCATATTCCTTGCACTCCTGGCGTAAAAACAAAGCCGAGTAAATGAGAAGTAGTTTCCCGCGACACATCCTCAGGTGCGGGCGCAGCACCGCAGTATACCTTCCGATCTCTCGAAACAGATTGTCCCTGTCGCCATAGCTTCTCCGAGGGGGACCGCTGGCTAGGAATTGCTCAATGAACAAGAGCTGCGTTCATAAGCTGCTGGGAGCAGGTACTCCTGCATGCGTCTGGCTGCACTACATGCTCAGTGATGGTCTCTTTCTCTGATATCCTTTTGCAATTGTCCCGCTTGCGAGCGCGGATACTCCATGGCTCGCCTTCGGCGACTCCGTCTCCTTCAGTGTTCGCCTGAATGGGACTCCGTATTGAGGATAAGCCCTCCCGGCCGTGTCTTTGCCTCTGTCTTGTTTAGCTTGAGCTTCCACACCGTCTTCTTCGGCTTGAGCTTCCACATCTCGGAAACCCATATTGATTGAGGATAAGCCCTCCCGGCCTCGTCCTTGCCTCCGTCTTCTTCCGCTTGAGCTTCCACGCCTCGGAAACCCATATTGGTTGAGGATAAGCCCTCCCGGCCTCGTCCTTGCCCCCGTCTTCTTCCGCTTGAGCTTCCCCGCCTCGGAAACCCATATTGGTTGAGGATAAGCCCTCCCGGCCTGGTCCTTGCCCCCGTCTTCTTCGGCTTGAGCGTCCACGCCTCGGAAACCCATATTGGCTGAGGATAAGCCCTCCCGGCCTCCTCCTTGCCTCTGTCTTCCTCCGCTTAAGCGTCCACGCCTCGGCAACCCATATTGGTTGAGGATAAGCCCTCCCGGCCTCCTCCTTGCCTCTGTCTTCTTCCGCTTGAGCGTCCACGCCTCGGAAACCCATATTGGTTGAGGATAAGCCCTCCCGGCGGTCCTTGCCCGTCTTCCTCCGCTTAAGCGTCCACGCCTCGGAAACCCATATTGGTTGAGGATAAGCCCTCCCGGCCTCCTTGCCTCTGTCTTCTCCGCTTAAGCGTCCACGCCTCGGAAACCCATATTGGTTGAGGATAAGCCCTCCCGGCCTCCTCCTTGCCTCTGTCTTCTTCCGCTTGAGCGTCCACGCCTCGGAAACCCATATTGGCTGAGGATAAGCCCTCCCGGCCTCCTCCTCCATATTGGTTGAGGATACACTCTCCCGGCCTTGTCGTTGCCCTTCTGCAGCTTGAGGGAAACCCATATTGGTTGGGGATAAACCCTCCCGGCCTTGTTCTTGCCCTTCTTCAGCTTGAGCTTCCACGCCTCGGAAACCCATATTGGTTGAGGACTCCCGGCCTTGTCCTTGCCTCTGTCTTCTTCAGCTTGATCTTCTACGCCTCGGAAACCCATATTGGTTGAGGAGAAGCTCTCCCGGCCTTGTCCTTGCCTCCGTCTACTTCAGCTTGAGCTTCCACGCCTCGGAAACCCATATTGGTTGAGGATATTCTTCTTTTCTTCAGCTTGAGCCTTCTACGCCTCGGAAACCCATATTGGTTGAGGATACACTCTCCCGGCCTTGTCGTTGCCCTTCTGCAGCTTGAGGGAAACCCATATTGGTTGGGGATAAACCCTCCCGGCCTTGTTCTTGCCCTTCTTCAGCTTGAGCTTCCACGCCTCGGAAACCCATATTGGTTGAGGATAAGTCCTCCCGGCCTTGTCCTTGCCTCTGTCTTCTTCAGCTTGAGCTTCTACGCCTCGGAAACCCATATTGGTTGAGGAGAAGCTCTCCCGGCCTTGTCCTTGCCTCCGTCTCCTTCAGCATGAGCTTCCACGCCTCGGAAACCCATATTGGTTGAGGATATTCTTCTTCAGCTTGAGCTTCCACGCCTCGGAAACCCATTGGTTTTAGGATAAGCCCTCCCGGCCTTGCCTCTGTCTTCTTCGACTTGTGAGCTTCCACACCTCGGAAACCCATACTGGTTGAGGATAAACCTTCCCGGCCTTGTCGTTGCGCTTCTTCAGCTTGAGACGCCACGTCTTGGAAACCCATATTGGTTGATGATAAACCCTCCCGGCCTTGTCCTTGCCCTTCTTCAGCTTGAGCTTCCACGCCTCGGAAACCCATATTGGTTGAGGATGGCTCACCCCCGGCCTTGTCCCTGCCTCTGTCTTCTTCAGCTTGAACTTCCACACCTCCGAACCCCATATTGGTTGAGGATGAGCCCTCCCGGCCTTGTCCCTGCCCCTGTCTTCTTCAGCTTGAGCTTTCACGCCTCGGAAACCCATCCTGGTTGAGGATGAGCCCCCCCCCCCCGGCCGTGTCCCTACCTGTGTCTTCTTCAGCTTGAACTTCCGCACCTCGGAACCCCATGTTGGTTGAGGATGGGCCCTCCCAGCCTTGTCCTTGCATAGGTACTCCGGCCTCTCCTCGCCTCCGTCCTGTTCGAGTTGAGACCACGCACCTCGGACCCGCTATTGGTTGAGGAGAAGTGCTCCGGCCTGGTTCCCGCCTCCCTCCTCTTCAAGTTGAGACCGCGCACCTGGGACCCCATATTGATTGAGGATAGGCACTCCGGCCTGGTCTCGGCTTCTGTTCTCTCCAGACCACGAACCTGGGAACCCATGACATTTGAGGATAGGCGATCCTGCCTTGTCGCCGCCTCTGTCTTCTTCAGGTTGAGACCACGCGCCGAGAACGTATTCTGAGAGTAAGTCCTTCGAGCTTGTTGTCGCCTCCTCTTGAAGCTCGCCTTCTTCTGGCTTCAAGCACCTGGCACTGATGCACGCTGCGGTAGGTCACGCACCTAGGACCCCATATCGGTTGAGGATAAGTGCTCCGCCCTCGTCCCCACCTTCACCTTCTTCGGGCCGAGAGCGCGTACCTGGGACTCCACGTTGGTCGAGGATAAGCGCTCCGGCCTCGTCCCCGCCTCCGCTTTCGCACCTGGGACCCCATATTGGTTGAGGATAAGCGCTCCGGCCTCGTCCCTGCCGCGCACGCACCTGGGACCCCAGCTCCGGCCTCGTCCCCGCCTCCGCCTTCTTCGGGCTGAGACCACGCGCCTGGAACCCCATATTGCGCCGGCCTGGTCCGCGAGAGCACGCACCTGGGACCCCATATTGGTTGAGGATAAGCGCTCCCGCCTCCGAGCGCGCGCCTGGAACATATTGGTTGAGGATAAGCGCTCCGGTCTCGTCGCCTTCTTCGGGCTGAGACCACGCACCTGGGACCCCATGTTGGTTGAGGATGAGTGCTCCGGCCTCGTCCCTGCCTCCGCCTTCTTCGACTGAGACCACGCACCTGGAACCCCACATTGGTTGAGGATAATCAGCGTTCACCTCCTCACTTCGGTCTCTTGGGGTTGGGACACCATGCAGGCGAGCCTGCACGGCTTCGTTCCCGCTCCCGGCCTTCTTCTTCTTGAGGATACGCACCTGGCACTCCACGCTGGTTGCGGTCTAAGTGAGCGGGTTGTTAGTTGAGGATTGTTTTTTGGTGTCTGCCCACTACCCCCCGTGAGACTCGTGCCACCCCCCGGAGGAGGCACCGGGTGGGGAGGGGGAGGGAAGGGGGGAGGGTGGGGAGGGGGCCGGGGAGGGGTGGGAACCAACACCCCATTTCCCAGTTGAGGATTGTTTTTTGGTGTCTGCCCACTACCCTCCCGCCCCAGGAGGAGGGGGGAGGGCGCTCAGGGGGAGGGGGGGCGGGGGAAGACCCCACACCCCATTTTAGTTGAGGATTGTTCTCTCGGCCTTGTCGCTGAGACCACACACCTCGGCAACCACATTGGTTGAGGCTCAAGCTTCGATACCTTGGATTGTCCTTGCCTCTGTCTTCTTCGGCTTGAGCTTCCAC